ACAAAATAAAAAAATAAAAATCCTCATAACCGGACCAGTAAGTAACCTAATGATAAATGCAGAAGATTGAAGTTGTCAAGTATTTTGTTTTACTTGGACCCACAATCAATGCCCATGGAAACAGCAGTCAAGAAATCAAATGATGTATTGCATTAGGCAAATCAGCTGCAGAATACTTTTTTAAAGTGTTAAAGAACAAAAATGTCACTTTGAAGACTAAGGTGCACCTGACCCAAGCCGTGATATTTTGGATAGTCTCATATGCATATGCAAGCTGGACAATAAATAAAGAAGAATGTTGAAGGATTGATGTATTTTACATTGTGGTATTGGGAAAAAAAAAAAGGAGCTCTGGTAGCATAGTACCTAAGGCACTTGACTGCTAACTAGAAGGTTGGCGGTTCAAAACCACCAGCCACTCCTCGGAAGGAAGTTTGGGCAATCTACTTCCATAGTGATACTGCCTCGGAAACCCAAAGAGGGGTCGCTATGAGTCAGGTCCCACTCGATGGCACATAACAACAACAACAATTGGCAAAAAATATTTATTGAATGTTCCATGGACTGGTAGAAGAACAAATAAATCTATCTTGGAGGAAGTACAGCCAGAATGCTCCTTAGAAGTGAGAAAATCCGTATTTCGTCTTTCATACTTTTTGATATTGTCAAAGAGACCGGCCCCTTGAGAAGGATATTATGATAGGTAAAGCAGAGGTTTAGAGAAAAGAGGGAAGATTATCAATGAGATGGATTGACATAGTGGCTGTGATGATGGGCTTAACCATGGCAATGATTCTGTGGATGACACAGGACCAGGCAATGCTTCGTTCTCTTGTACATAGGGTTGCTATGAGTCAAAATCAACTCAATGACAACTAACAACAACAACAGATATGTAAATATCCAGAGCCATTTTAAAAGTGTGACCTAGGCAGATCTTTGATAGCTAAGGTTACTATGAAAGGTATGTTGTCATCGACAACAAAGTGACCTTCCTCTTACTAGCCAATGAACATTCGCATAATTTTTAAAGAATATCTGATATTTTAAAATGCAATGTGTTGTAAAGAATGCTGATTGTTTCTCTGAATTTTATGAACTTATCCAAGGCCAGAACAGAGATTCATATACTTAAAATGTTCTTGTTGTATTCTGAATCTGGAGAAAACAATGCCATCAATACCCTTTCTCAAGAGAAACATCTTGTACTTGGAGATCTTTTCCAAATCGTCATCTAATGATTATGATCATAGAGTTGAAGACTTTTCATGAAAGTCTTGTCTCCTGAGTATTTTATACCAGAAAAGGCTTGGATAAAATCCAAGGTAAAGTTTCAGACATGCATTTTGGCTTCACTTGGAAAACAAACGTGCAAGCAATTTGAGGTTTGTACTTTGGAGGTCTTTACTATGTTCCCAAGTCAATTTTAAAGCAAGAAGCTCTTTAAATTCACAATAAGCCCCATCCTGCCCTTTGTGGCCCCAAAAGCACAGTACTGTTGATGGGAGTGCAGCTTTACCAGTGTTTCCGATCTCTGGGAACCATCATAAAGCAAATCCTTGGTTTCAATTGCTCTTCAGTAGCTGGTAATAAGAAATGGATTGGATTGCACTGCTCTAGGAGATAATCAGGTATTTGTCCATTGACTATAAAGTAACTTGTTCTTACCTATACAATAAAGAACAGCAATATCCTGTCACCACTGGAAAATCTGCCTTTTGTTTATCATCTATATAAAGCTTGCAGAACACTGGGTGTGGAACACTCTGATACACACGTGCACTCAAATTCTCTCCCTGGTGTTCATGGACTACTATAGAACTGTGTGGGATTTCTGCAAAGCTTAGCCAGCCCAACACAGAGAAAATGGATCAGATATGCTATTAGTGATCTTGTTCTACTAGTATCTGTTGGTCTAAGGAGAGGATATGTGTCCCAGAAATTACCTAACAAGTAATGACCTGTCTCTCAGAAAGTTAGTCAAAGCTTTTAACTCCCCACCAAACCAGTGTAGAAATCAAATCACATCACATCCACACCAGGAAAGAGAAATTAATGTCCCAAGAGTCACCCATTGTATTTGATTAAGTTCTAACAGGAGAACGAAAGATTTCAATAGCAAATGTTGTTTTCCTTAAAACATTTCCAAACAGAAATCTTCATGTCAATCATCAAAGGAAAACATTCCTTCACTTGTAGGCCACTGAAGAGCATATAAATATATTTGATTCTGCTTCCAAAGGGTGGCCAGTACTGACACCACTAGCAAAATGTTTTATTTGTGAGGAACTCTCAGAAGAGTTCCTGGTATTTTCAATGTGAGCTTGCTAGATATATTTGCAAACATGTTTGTGTATTTGGGGATGCAGTATTTTAAAAACATGTTACTTTGTCTAAACCTGATCAGCTTTAGCTGGTATTTGGAGATGTTTTTGTCCTTCTCTGACACTTTGCGTGGCCACTGGAGACTCTTCAAAACATTTCCTTATTCAGGTCTCAAGTTTAAGTATTAAGTTCAAAGAATTACTTTTCCAATCAATTAGAGTAAAATATTAATTTTATTTTTGCACTAGGCTTTGATATTTATGCACTTTAGTTGCAGAAAGGGTCTTTTTTTTCACAGTTTGGAATAATTTATTTTGTTTAAATAGTATATATATGAGTAGCAAAGATCAAACATTTATCTCACAGTTAAATGGTCTGTGAAAAAAATCATTCATCAAAGTCCTCATCAGATAATATTTATTAAACAGTTTATGAAGGTCCCATAATAACTTTTATTTATTGACCAAAATTGTTTTGTGAACTTGCTCCACTAATATATCTTTATTTGCCTGTTCTATTTATTCTACACATTGTCACCAGAAATGTGTAATTTTTGTGTGAAATGTTTATGTAGTCATTTCTAGCAGCTGAATGCAAAATGGAATAAATGCAGATGTACTGACTTTAGAGGGCATGTTTTAATTAAAGAAAAAAATTGCTACATCAACAGTTCTTGTTTGTGGTTAAAATCAGGAGAGATGATTATTTTTATTGAATTAAACACAAGAATAAATAAAACTGTTAAGGTGTTTCAAATGATATATTTTAAAGTTATAGATGGTGATTGCAATAAAGACAAAAGATAAAAATGATATTAGTTATATTATTTATATCTTGATGAGACCTAATAAAAAGTTACATTTACTCTGTGGAATATTGTATTTTTATTTGTTTGCTATAAATATGCAATATATCAACATAAGCCTGATTTTTTTTAACTTGTTTTAGGATTATTATCTTTTAAAAACTTCTCCACACATGCTGTCTGTTCAAATAACTGTGCAGTTAACTCAAATCATCTGAAATATAGTAGTTTAGTAGCACTTATTCAGATGAAATATAGTTCTTCAGAATTAATTAAATTCATCGTATTTTTTATTTCATCAAAGACTTTCGGGTAATATCCCTAAAATTATAAAGGATTTGGCTTACCAGCATTAATTTTTTCTATAAGTTATTTGTCCCAGGTTAATAATTTTTGTTCTTCCTGAATCAATATATTGTGGAATTTAATTCTCTAGACTATCAGACTCTATTACTTCTTTATGAGTCAATCTCTGGAAATTTATCATCTCCATTTGAATGTCTATTCCCTAAATTAGATACATAAGAAATTGAAAACATTTTAAAATAAATCATAGCAAAGTTATTGAGAGGCAATTTAAATATGTCTATATATGCAACTGTTTGAGTGGTTGAGGTAGCTTTCATATAACCCTTCTCCCTTTTCACAAAGCCTTGTAGAACTAGTTCTAAACTTGAGTTGTATTACTGTGTGTGGAGATCAGTGAAGTTGAGTTTATGTTTAGCCTCATATAATATTTAATATTTGTAAGGAAGAAATAAAATTAAATGACATTTGTTGTTGTTGCTGTAGTTATTTGCCATTGACTCAGACCTGACTTATGGCGACCCCTCCTTGGGTTTCCAAGGTAGTATCACTACGGAAGTAGATTGCCCAACCTTCCTTCCGAGGAGTGGCTGGTAGGTTTGAACCACCAGCCTTCTGGTTAGCAGTCAAGTGCCATTTAAGAACCTTAAAAAAAAAAAAAATTATACTAACCACAAAGGCAGATCTGATTCTAATCTAAAGGCAGATCTGATTCTGGCTATCCTTTGGAGAGGAATTCCACCTAATTCCCGAAGGTGATGAGTCAAAAGATATCCACTCAAATCTTAAATTGTCATAGAAAGCGTTAACTTGAATATTATCCAGAGACTTGTTGGAAGACCCTTTCAGTTATAAAGATAGCTGGGACTTTACATTGGTGTTGTTCTATTTAACCATAAACATTTTCGGGAATGCTTTGAGAAGATGCTTAAATTTTAGTTGCTCAAGAATTTTCTGAGTTATAACTTTATTAAGTAAATATTAAAGTTAACAGGAGAGTCTAAGTTATGGTAAAACTGAATGTTACACTTTTTTAACTTAGTTACTAAAGGTTTCATTATTTTCATAAAATGTGATAAATAGTGAAATTGGAACAAAATAAAATAAAATAAACTTTCCTAGAATCAATTGATTTTTCAAATGTCAGTAAGATGATTAAAAATATAAATTTAACATATTGACTTAAAATATGTATTTATAATTTTAGAGGAAAGTCATGGTTACCACTACTACCAACTTTGTATGTATTTGAGCAACTTTATTTTAGAGATAATTGTATGGCCGTTTCAGAAATAGTGTATATCCAGCATATATGTCATGTTAACATACTGAAGTAAAATACCTTTAAATTTTTTTCTGAAGTAAAATAATATAGGATTTGAATGAAAGAAAAATTGGAATACAAGTATTAAAAATAATAAATTGAGTTTCTTATTACACTCACGTTTAAGGAAAATTTATAAGTGACAGAAAAACCCTGGTAATAAAAATACAATAAACTCTAGAAGGTAGATTATGTACATGTTGACAGATTTAATTTGTTTATATTTCTTTTTACCAATAGCTCACAGTAGTATGAATGACACTAATCTTCCTATGGAAACAACTGAGTGCATTCGAGGTCAAGGAGAAGGTTACCGAGGCTTCACCAATACAATTTGGAATGGAATTCCATGCCAGCGCTGGGATTCCCAGCATCCTCATCAACATGACATAACTCCTGAAAATTTCAAATGCAAGTAAGTAAATTCCTCAGATGTTGAAAATTTCATTAGGCCCTAGGGGAAATAAAGCAGAATAGTTGCTTTCTACTAATTTCTATATTAGTGGTCCTCATGCTTTAGTGTGCCTATGATCATCATGGACCAAGAAATAGCATCACGATAAATGGAGAGAAGATTGAAGTTGTCAAAGACTTCATATTGCTTGGTTCTACAATCAACACCAATGGAAGCAGTGGTCAAGACATCAGACAACATATTGCATTGGGTAAATATGCTGCAAAAGACCTCTTTCAAGTGCTGAAGGGCTGAAGTCTCCTTAAAGACTAAGGTGCACCTTACCCAAGCCATGGTATTTTCAATCGCCTCTTATGCATGTGAGAGATGGAAATGAATAAGGAAGGCCAAAGAAGAGTTGATGTTTTTGAGTTGTGGTGTTGGTGAATAATATTGAAAGTACCATGGACTGCTAAAAGAATTAACAAATCTGTTCTGGAAGAAGTGCAGTCAGACTGCTCTTGGAAGGGAGAATGACCAAACTTTGTCTCACCTACTTGGGCCACATTGTCAGAAGGAACCATTCCCTGGAGAAGGCTATCATGCTTGGTAAAGTGGAAGGTCAATGAAAAAGGGGAAGGCCCTCAACAAGATGGAATGACACAGTGGCTGCAATGATGGGCTCAAGTATAGCAGGAATTGTGAGGCTGGCACAGAGCCAGGCAGTGTTTTATTCTGTTGTACATAGGGTTGCTATAAGTTGGAGATGACTTGATGGCGCCTAACAACAACAACATGATCATCATGAGTTAAAAGTACATTTTCCTGCTCCAACATGGGATCCTCAATGTGCATTATAAATACTCTACGTGATTCCCACCACTCGTCTGTTAGTTTGTCATACTGTGGTGGCTTGTGTGTTTCTGTGATGCCAGAAGCTATGCCACCAGTATTTCAGATACCAGCAGGTTCATCCATGGTGCAAAGGTTTCAGTGGAGCTTCCAGACTAAGATAGACTAAGAAGAGGGATAGGGCCATCCACTTCTGGGAAAAAAAAAAAAAAAGCTCTGAAAACCTTATGAATAGCAGTGAAAGATCGTCTGATATAGTGTCAGAAGTTGAGCTCCATAAGGAAGGCACTCAAAATACCAACAACTAGGGAAGAGCAGCCCCTTCAAATTAGAGGTGACATTAAGTACAATGCTATATGGATAATGTCCATGCACCTACAAGGAAGACCAGTTAATGCTATTATTATTCAAATTTACACACAAGCCACTAAAGTCAAAGACAAAAAATTGAAGATTTTTACCAACTTCTACAGTCTGAAATTGACCAAACATGTAATCAAGGTTATCAAGGTTATTGGCATGTGAAAACTGTAACAAAGAAGAATCATCATTAGTTGGAAAATATGGCCTTGGTGATAGGAATTACACTTGAGACCAGATGATAGAGACTAATGACTTACTCACAGAAAATATCTTTTTTGAACAACATAAACAGGTGACTATACAAGATTGAAGTTGTCAGAGTTGTCATTTTGCTTAGATCCACAATCAGTGCCCATGGAAACAGCAGTCAAGAAATCAGAGGAAGTATTGCACTGGATAAATCTGCTGCAAAAAACCTCTTTAAAGTGTTAAAGAGCAAAAGTGTCACTTTGAAGATTAAGGTGCCCCTGAGCCCAGGCATAGTATTTTCAATAGCCTCATATGTATGTGGAAGCAGGACAGCGAATAAGGAAGACTGAAGAATTGATGCATGTGCATTGTGGTGTTGGTGAAGGATATTGAAAACACCATGGACTGCCAGAAGGACGAACAGATCTGTGTTGGAAAGAGTATAGCCAGAACTCTCCTTTTAAGCCAGAATGGCCAGACTTTGTCTCACATAATTTGCTCATATTGTCAGAAGGAACCAGTCCCTGGAGAAGGATATCATGCTTGGTAGAGTGTAGGGTCATTGACAAAGGCGAATACCGCCAACAAGTTGTATTGACACAGTGGCTGTAACAATGGGCTCAAGCATTGCAATGACTGTGAGGATGGCGAATGACTTGGCAGTGTTTCTTTCTGTTGTATGTAGGATCACCATGAGGTGGACCCATCTCAATGGCACCTAATAGCAACAACAGCTAGGTGATTCTGACACAAGTGGTTGATGTTACCTGTTTTGGATACACATCCTTAGGTTTTTCAGCATCTCAGCTTTGCTCTTGCAGGTTTATTTAATACAGAATTTAATGGTAATGGTAACCATGCATGTTTTTTAGAAAGCATAGTTTTTAGATTTTAATACTAACTTTGTGGGAAATTCTTTCCTTTTTTCCTTACAAAAAGAAGACCTCAATTCCAGTCAACAGTTTACATTAATTATATTTCAGCCTTGAGGAATTACACCAAAATGATTTTTAAATTTTAAATGAATGTTTTCCATTGTTTCAAAATTTGCTTTAAAATGTGGAAAGTGAAACAACTTTTTAGAAGAATCAAGCCAAAGAAATTGCCCTTGATGCCCTTGAGTATCAAATATGGAGTTGTTGTGTCCATTTTCTATGACTGCTTTTTTTCCACCACTTGACTTTTGTTGAATAAATGCAGCCACAATGCCATGTGTTTTTAAATTGTCTACCTTGTTATAAGGAACATAAAATGATTGCCTATGAGATTTATAACACTCATGCCATTCATAGTGACTTTGCTGAAACAACCACTATAAATAACATATATTGGCTTTGATGTAATTGACTTTTAATAAGAGAGGTTAACATTTCAGGATGAAAAGTTATGAGTACTAGTTGGCCCATCCACAGTAGAGGACAGATATTTTATGTTTTTTGTTTTTTAGCTAATTCAGCAGCAATTATTTGCTTAGATGGTTAAATATTCATAGGTTGGAATATTTTTTCATTATTTCATAATTACAAAATTTATAGTGTCCTTCTGGGTTTATGCCCCTTTTTTCCTTCTTAGCAATTCATTCTATCTAACTCAGAAGCCCCATTTTGAAAATAAATGCCAAGGTGGATAAGCAAAGAAAATGAGGGAAAAAAAAGTTAGTTAATAGGGACAAAAGGAGATAGTGTCATCCATCCTTAACAATTGTTGTTAACTTCTAATGACTCGTAACACTGAAATAAGAAATTATACATGTGCAAGGGCTCAATGAACTTTTTATAAGAAAAAAAATGATCATAGAAATTTAATTCACATATTTCATGATTATAACTTAATTATAAAAAATTTAGCCATTACATGTTTTCAGAATCTCAAGCCATCTTTTCCTCATTTCGTTCCTTGGTCAAAATAATAAAACATTTGAAATACCAAGAAACAAAATGTGAGCTGCGTTAGAGAACTCATAAAACGTGAAACAGTATTTTGCTCAGAATATTGGTGCATTTACCATTTGTGGTCTAGCAATGTTGCTTAGGGTCCTATATCATATTAAATACTGTTTCCACCAATGCTGAGACTCTTTCCAAATGCCAATTTTCAAAATGCTATCACTGAACAACATGGCTTATGATGAAGATACATAAATCATAGAATTGTCTATCCACTTTAGTAATTGTAAATAATTCCTACTTCAAGTGAAGGGAAAGTACTTAAAATATTTGGGCAAACCTAGCCTTTCATTTTCATTTAATCTTGATTAATGAGGTGCTTCTGGATTTAGATTTTGTAAGTTTAAACTGATACGTTGGGCAACCTGTACCTTATACCTTCATTCAACTATGCTGACTTAAATTAACAAGCCAAAGTAGTTTTATTTTCAACGATTTTTCATTTAAAATTGCAAACTTGTGTAAATTTTAAGTAAAATTTAATACACATATTTTATACTTACACAATTTTTGCAAATCACAAGTAGAATTTGGTATAAGAAAAATAAAAGTTTTTTCATCTTTTCCAATTAATAAATAATTTTGTAAACAGTCTGAAGACATAAATACATGCTATAATTGTGAACACTTGTTATTCAATGGTCTTAAATATTGGCAATCAATGTTCTGAAATTCTTAAATAACACAGTTTGCATCAAGACCTAAAGCAGTTAAAAAAATGAAATCATATGTGCAGTTGACATGACCAGCAATCTGAAACTATTTTCACTAGGTGGAATATTACCTCTTGATTTCTTAACTATACTCAAACTTTTTCCTTTAAATGTTTATTAGTTTTTGATATCCCAATTGGGTATTAATAAAATCGTAGCACTTCTTACTCAACATAAGTGATAAATACACTATGGTTTCCAATATATTGAATAGTAATTTGGTTTAATAGTTAGCCAGGGTTTGGTAGAAAAAATGCATGTGCTTGCTTAGAAATAGAGAATGATTTTGGATATATTTTAAGTTAAAAAACAAAACAAAAACCTTTGAATGCTTTTACCTTTAGAGAATTTAGTGTGTGTGTATTTGTGTGTATTTCCTTATTGGAAACTCTAAATATCTAATTAAAGCACTAAAAAGATAAAGCATGCACATATATTACACTGACCACACAGTCCCATAGTTAGATGTTCTATATTATGAATAGTCTTTAATTTTATAGAAATATTACTAAGGATTTCAGAAAATTTCTCTGAATCAAGGAAAAAACTATTTTGTAATTAAAAGAAACCTATGTAGAAAACTAAATGAATCAAAGAAATATAGAATTCAAGAAAAGAAATGGCTACCCTTTTTTGTGTCCTATTTTGAATAAACTGAACTTTATTTTAAATGAGAGTAGTTTATGACTAGTAAGAATAGAGTTTCTCCTTCAAAGAGAGATAGATGTTTTCTCTGTATTAAATGTAGACTGAGCCACGGAAATGTAATAAATGACAAGTCAGTTTTGAAATTATAACAATTCAGAGTCTACATCATGAGAAAGCATGATAAGAATGGAATAGTCCCATATCTCTCTTTTATAAAGCAGTAATATTTGCATGAAACTCCAGGCTTATGGAAGGAAAAGGATACTTATAAATCTGACAGCATTTATTCTAGTAATTTGGGTAGTGTCCGTTGTGTATACTGAATTTTAATTTGTTTTAACTAACTTAAATCCAAAATTTAAAACTCTATTTATAGACATGTATATCTTCTTGGAATCTAAAAACTTAACAGAGATGACTTCATCACTGTAAGAGCTCAGACAACTTAGGTTAACATGTGTGTTCTCAATAGGGACTTAAGAGAAAACTATTGCCGAAATCCAGATGGAGCTGAGTCACCCTGGTGTTTCACCACTGATCCAAACATCCGAGTTGGTTATTGCTCCCAAATTCCAAAATGTGACGTGTCAAGTGGACAAGGTAACGGCTGATGTTTTGCAATGCAGCATGATTAAATTTGGGGGAAATGCCTAAAGGGAAGACACATTTTAGAGCAGAAGATCTACTTCTTGGTGAACTAGTTTTATTGGTTAGCAAACAAAATTGTCAAGTACAAAGTTGGATCAGTTTTATGTGTTCATGTGTTCATGAAACACCTATTCATTTGAATCTATACTAATGTCAGGCACAGTTCTAGGCACTCGGAATACGGAGTAAATGAAGCTAAATCCACTGTCCCTGTGGAACTAACTTCTAGCTTAAAGAAAGAACAGAAAAAGAAAAACAAGAGATGAGGATAGTATATTCGTTTGTGGTAAGTGCTACAGAGAAAAATATCCC